GCCGGTAACTAAACCATCTATTGTGTGCATTCATGGAAGCCACAATCCATTTCACGAGCAGTTTTCCGGGGTACTGTATACCGCCTGTTTTCTTAAACTTACAATCTTGTGAAGGGGATAGAGCTGGACCTGCCAGTGTGCCCTCCTCACAGGCTTGCTTTTCTTGGCTGCCGGTGAAACGCAGGAGCCTCTTGCCTTGCGCCTCTACCGTAGAAAGTGTCGCTAGCTCAAAATTCACAAGTTTTCGAAGGGGTTACCATAGAGTTTTGAGGGAAATATCCTCATTCTACTTGGTAGCTCACTTACTGAAGTAACTTTCCAAGAAGATCACTGGAAATTGAACATGCGAGCTCTATGATTTATTCAGATACAGTACCTACTATCCGTCGTATACCGGCCAAACCACCTCGTCAGCACCGTTCTATCCTGAGCTGACTACGTTCTCGGTGCCACGTACTGGCGAATTCGCTTCCACTGGGAGCGATCAAAAGGACCAAACTCAGATCAAAATCGAAAAAGAAGGTGAGTCAGTCTTCTCCCGTTATTTCGCCTACCAGAGGCATCACGGTACGGCAGGCGTTGTCACGGTCATTTGCTTCCTATAATCTGTAACCGCCTAGGCTCTCGGATAACAGGCGCAAATCGGCTTGGAGGGGCATTTTGCACTCTCGCTGGTTCTTTTGTCAGTTCATGTTGAATATTAGGTCTCACTTGTGCGGGACTTGTGAACTTCGTTGAAACTGCGAAATGGTCCGAGTGAGCCGTTTCGGTAACAGGAACCCACAGTTTTTTACAAGATGACCTGTACAATGCAATGGTAGACTGAGTACCATTCGGTGCCCCCGCCAAGCCGAACAGCATCGTTCCCATTAATGCAATAATCCCTCTGGTTCGCCTTCTGTACTGAAAGGCGCATTTCACGCTCAGCAGATGGGCGGAGTCGACCCTGGTATAATGACGTTTTCGCCGCCACGCCCTTCATATTCCAAGGTGATAAGGAGGCGCACTGATGAGGTATATATATTTGTAGGTCTGACTCCGCCCATGCGACAGGTGGGGCCTGCGTCTTTAGGGGCAAGCTCTCAATAACTCGGGGTTGGAGAGTTGTCTACGATTTGCCTTGCATTACGTCCCAAATGAATCACGCTTTTCCTAAATGTTAATTGATGACCACACAGTCTTGTTCGCTGCGCACGATGGGGCGTTTCAAGGGGCTTTATTTGACGCAACGCCAACCCACCTCTCCTTCAGTTGTGGAAGGGCCGAAGACTACAATCGGTGGAGAACGGGCCTGCGCAGCGCCAAACCCAGCTCCCTCTAGAACGATCCAGCGTCCACAGCGAACATCCGTGTAGAAATCACTCGGTCACGCGAATATGTCATTTATGTGGGTTTCCGAGACTTCGCGAGGAAGGTGGGGTGGGGGTGGGAGGGGGAGGTGAGGAGTGTGGTCGAGTCGGAGAGGTCGTGGGTGGGGGGGTGGGTGGGCGAGGCGAGGCGGCGGTGTTGCTGGGCGAGGAGCGGTGGGGGTGGGGCAGGATGCTGGGGGGCGATGCGAGTGTGGGGCGAGTGGGAAGCGTGCGAGAGTGCCGGGGGGAGAGGTGAGGTGGCGGGCGGCGCGCAGGGGCGGAGAGTAGAGGTGGGTGTGGTAGCGGGATGGCGGGGGGCGGGTGGTGTGCGCGAGGTGGAGAATGTGTGATGTGTGTATATATTATAGATGTCTGCTGGCGGGGCGTTTCAGCTTGTTGCATTTAACAAGCCACTCACTTTGATTTACGCAAGGTTGGAGCATTGCCAATTATTGTGTTTTCTCCGCTCCACAATTTCTCCTTCAACTTTGGTTTCAATATTCTTTCGTTGCCGGGAGACAACTTCCATTTCCGCTTCTCCGTTTGCGGTGGTGTCGTCGTGTCGTTGTGCTGGCCGGGTTTGCATGGTGTTCCTCCACCATTGGGCGGTCGATTGCTTCTGGCGCCGGAATGGGCGTCGGCCAGTGGGACCGACTGGCGGCCGTGCGGATCAGGCGCGAATCAAAACGTATATACATTTAACTGCGTTCATGCTGACGTGGCCTTGCTCCGGCCCTTACATTGACCATGCTGTAACCGCTTTCGATTAAGGCGTGGAGATGCCTCATTCGACATTGCAAGTTCTATTATCTAACCATCCCTGGAACTACCTGCCAATCTAGTCAGGAAACAACATCTCCATATTCTATATTCCTCCCCCTCCTCGAGTATAGATCGTCGAAGAAGCTGCGATCTCATTGCTGAGGCGAATATTGTGGCAAGGCGAGCTCGGTAATCCCCGAAGTAAATGAAAACTGGTAGGCGTTTTAAATTTGAGTGAACCCGACAACGACGTGCCCAATCCAAAACCAGCGACTAAAACCAAAGGTGAGTTTTAGTGCAGCTTCGATTCGGGCGAGTAAATTAGCTGTTGGTGCGCGAATAGTTACCAAACAGGCTGAGGTGCATTTTCAGTCTTCACAGAATTGAACTCACGTGTAGTCCCGAGGAGATGGTCCGGCAAGTGGCGCCGTCGGTTGACTTTTAATTGGGTCTTGTGTGGCATCTTCATGGGGCATGAGATCAGGCTCCATTACGCTTGTTAATCAGCGAGGCCGTAAATTTGCCAAAAACATGTTATCAAAATGGGAGCAGTGTCTGGACGATGGTAAATCCGTCGGGCGCCATTACTGACATGTACACTCCACATCCCTAAAACAGAGTGGGCGTGTCTGCGTGCTTCACTCGAAAATGGCAAAGGATGCGTTTTCTGAGGACATCTCTATCCAAGGTCATTTCTGTACAGCCTTTTGTGTTGGACAAAAACATGGTATCAATTGTCGCAAAACAAAAATAACCCACCAGAAGCGCAGGCAAGGCTCCGGTCAATCCGAATACGTAGCCACGCCTTCCACGTTTTCGGGATACGAACTGTTCATCAACTGACCCCACAAGCCATAATAAGAGCCAATGCGCATGCAAAAACAGCTGCCACCTCAGGGCTATTCATGGGGATGGAATAAGTGGGGTATCCGCCCCTCCCAGAAACTGCCCAGCGTCGAGAAGGAAACTAACTGCGGCGACATCGACTGAACGAAGGAATGTGTACTTGAGATCTTCTTATCTACCTAATGATCTGTCCATTCATGCTGTTCAGTCGATGTCGCCGCAGTTAGTCGGGGTGGTCTCAAAAGGCATGGAATGAGGCCCATCCGCGGCGTTTTCCACCACTGATTAATTTATTTCCAAATCGGTCGCTAACCAATCACTGCCCGTAGGTAGGGCAACCGGAGGCGGGCATATCCGCCCCTCCTGGCACCTCCCCGGCTGATCGCTTCGATATTCAGCTATAGGACCGAATGATTACACGGCGGACGTCAACACAAACTTTTCAGGTGGAGATCCTACGTTCCGCTATCGATTACATCACCAAACTGGAGACAATGTTACATGCCGAAGGAAAAATGACAAAAATTATGGCGCAAAATCAGATGATGCATGGTCACACCGGAGGCGAATACTTGGTGAGAAAAACGCTTTTTAAAAGTCGAACCAGTTGGTCTTTCATTCGGAGCTTTAGACGCGGCGAAACAATTCATCAGCAATTGTAAGGTGATAGTGGGGAAAATCGGCGTTAATACCTCACCGGCATTGCGGCTTCCATTATGGTGCTCCATCGCTCCTCTGTAGCCATAGTGGGGACCACATTGAATTGTTGTGACACCTCCGCCACCTCCGCGTTATCGCGGGAATATACCCTCGAGAGCTCAGTAACCTCTCCTGCTTCAGGTTCTCCAATGTGCAGGACCAGGTTCTTCAAACCGTGCCTATTTCTTTCTCCGCACCTCCACTTTCCTTTCCTTTTTTTTCCTATTGTCGCACTTACGAATCGCTTTCAACGTCAACGTTCACATCATTTCCTGATAATCCTTACTTAGTCCTCCTCAGTTTCTTAACAAAAGGTTTACGCTCGAGAGGGCGACGGAGAGACCGTCGTCGAAGCCATAAGAAAGACCCCTCTACCCTGCGCCCACTACCATCTGCTCCTTCATTCCCACACCATGCAGATTCCCAGGTTGAGCAACCACTCTTAGGGAGCCAAGCCACGACCACCCCCTTAACAGCTTCAACGCCCCACCCCTTCCCGGTGAGTATTCACCTGAAGATGATGACACACACATTCCAAAAGAGTTTGTAACATGTTTCCGGATGAGTTCCCAAATTCTGGGTTCGAACCGGCACTGTGGGGGCATTTTACTGGTTCCCATCGATCACTACTGGTGCCTGGCGTAAAGACCTGTAAGCTCGTGTAAAATTGTGCGTTAGCAGGAACTTCGATTTAACTTGACAAGGGTCTGCGAGTCTTACCGAGGTAGCTTAGCAAGAACTAGCAGAAGGAGCTAACTAAGTTGCAAAGTGCCCCTCTCAAGCCGATCAGCGCACAAATTCTGTTGGTGCGGCTCGCTGATGCCAGTCGTTTCAGCCATCGACATCTGCTCAATTTCCATCTTCGTTTGACGGTTTTGACGACGACGAGGTATCCGATTCAGATGACGTTGACAGCCCACAGCCTACCGGTGAGGAAGCCAAGTTAGTACAGCAACTTGCTTATTATCTTGTAAATAACGCTTTGACTTATTGACAATAATTTGGTGTGAAGTTGTTTGGTGGGGTGGGGGGGGGGGATTAAGGAAAGGGGCAAGCGGCAGCGCATCTAGGCATCATGTCTTGTCTCGTCATCTTCTTTCTAAGTACATATCAAAACGGTTATGTGCGGCATTTTCCTCTCTGTGAGAGGACGCAGACAAGCAGACATGACGTGACATAGGAGATATGCGAGAACATCCCTTCGCCCTCCAATTGCTGCACCTCTAAAACTTCAGTTTTTCTCTGAGCTTTTCACAGCTTTCCAAGGGACTACTTACTCAAATTTTTATTCAGTTTAAAATTAAAAATGAATTGGAGGAAAATATTTCCATTAAAAATAACGCCATTTAGCGGACGGTCGGAAGCGAACTTCGTTGGATCGGCTGTCACGCATAGTGGCAAACATTGCGGGAGAGGAAGGGGCCGTGGTGGCCGCAGCTCAAGAACCGCTCGTAAATGAACAACAACAGCCACAACAATCACAGCCATCACAGCAACAAAGTGACGCTACACCGGAGCCAGAGAAGAAACTCGCCGTACTGCTATGAAATTTCAGAACAAGTCTCTTCAATGTGTGTCAATGTTAAACTTAGTTTCCCGCTTCAAAACACTCCACGTTCACAAGAAATTATTATCGATTTTACGCGCGTGCGATCGATATCGCTTTTGAATTACAACCACTCATAGAGTGAATTGAAGTGGGAAAGCGAACATATTTCTCCTTAATTTATAGACAATGACGCTTAACGATGTGATGCACAAATGCCTCGTGCGTTTCTTCCCATTATACGCAAGCAGCCAACCTTCAAATCGTTGTGCTCAAAACGGTCAGTGAGGTAAGCGTGCGGTTGCGGTGCGGCACGTCGGAAAATCGATATGGTTGCCGATCCGTAAGCTTACCGTAATAAGCGCAACCAAGTTGAGGGTGTGACTGCACATGCCTTAGATTATAGTCGTTTCATGAAATGTTGTTGAGTTGTAAATATATACTTAAGTAGTTCGTATTAGGAATAATTGATGGTAATTATTGATACTTGTTGATAATTCTTAGTGATGATACCTTCTGATACGCATCCATTTCTGCTCACCAAGCGCAATTTTTAACAAAGACTGTTTTCACTTAATGGGTTTTCAGCTCGAATAAATTTGCTATTTCATCCAGATTTTCTCCCAAAAATCAGGCCTTCTTAATAGCATAGCCCCACAACGATCTACACACTACAGCTGCCTCTAACAGGACAGCCATAGTAAACGCTGGAAGCAAAAAAAAAAGACCTTCGACAGAGTCACATATTCAGGCAAAGTTTTCGCAGCCCTGACAGAGGACGTGGATACGAATACCAGGGCGGAAGATACCCGTCGCCAGACTAACTGTGGCAGGTAACCCTAAATGGGCGGGGCGTACTCGAAGGTGGGCGGTGCTTCTCGCAAAATTCAGTAACCCGGTTCGCGAGAGTGTTTGGAAGTCGCAAAAATTCAGTGTAGAATGTAAATATTCTGCGAATTAGGCACGCTCAAGTGTGGGTTGAGACACGCGCCACAAAGGGGGGGGGGGGCGGGGAGCTTGCCCTAATGCAGGGTATTCATTTTAAGAAGTTTTGCAGATCGGTTCCACAACACTACAGATACGGAAAAAGTGGATCAAGGTCAGCAGAGGGTCGTCGGTGAGGATTGTGGGGCAAAAACATTGTGGGCGGAGCCTGCTCCGAGGTGGGCGGAGCCAGACGAAAATTCCCTAAAACTGTCCCAGAGCAAGACCGGAAAAAAACGTGGATTAAGGTCAGTAGAGGTCGCCGGTGAGGATTGTGGGGCAAAAACATTGTGGGCGGGCCTGCTCCGAGGTGGGCGGAGTCAGACGAAGAATCTGTAAAATAGCTCAAGAGTACTTCAGACACACGGAAAAAAGTGGAGTACAGAGAAAAACCGATATTCAGTTGAGCTGAGAATTATGTGAAACGAAAATCCGCGGTCCCAAGCCGGCGCGGTTCGCACCGGCCGCAGCCGGGCCGTATAGAGGAGGCGCAGCACGGCGTATAGCCGCAGCCGACTGTATCATATCTTAGGAACGCACTCCCACTGATTCTATAGGGAAGGTTGGGAATTCACCTGAGGAACAATTGCAGAATGAGCCTCAACTGTAGCGCTTCCTTATGAAAGTGAGCTAGCAGCGTTTTCTTATGAAAAACAATTTTTAAGGCAAGAAGGCAAGGGAAAATCGTTTCAGAAACGGTGCATGTTTGAACGATCGACAAAACAACAAGTGAGCGTTTATTATCAGGCACCCAACAACATTCGACTAGAAAAGCCAAAATTAGTATAGAGAGAAGAGTAAAAAAAGTTACCACGATCTTAGTGCTGAAAAGAGGAAAAAGTATTGTTCACACAATAAAGGTCCCGTCACGAAAAAACACAACCATCAAGTGGCATTGGTGGAAGCTAGAAGACATTCAGAATAGTTTCTGAATCCAAAAGGTATAAAATGTCGCATATGAGGCGATCAATCGATAAGCGTTCCGTTATTTATTCCATGCTGAGGGCTTGCGTACGATTATCGATTGATGCGAAATGTCCCATAAAAGTTGATCAATCGGTAACGATTTCATGTTGGGTTCGCGCATTTATGTACGATTATCGATTAATAAACAATGTCCTATAAAAGGTGATCAATTCGTAACTTCGCGTCACTTATGTCATGCTGATTTCGCACGTTTGTGAACGATTATCGATTGATGACCCTATGAGAGACCGGATATTCACGACACGTCTACCTGGTTAAGTTAGAGATCATTCATGTGTAAGTGCTCTTCAAGCGCGAATGTATTAGAGGGAATAGACTATATCAGATAATAATTGCACATAATATGCAGTTCATGACATCGGACTATGTTTGAAAAGACGCGCTGCGACCGCACGCAGCCACCACCGCCCTACTCAAGCATGGACATGAACTGTATACCTTCTGTCACCACCGAGGCTATAAATATTATAGAAAATGAGAAACAAATCGCAGGAGAAAGTGAGAAAGCACAGCAATCACCATGGAAATGCCCATTCTATGAGAAAACATTTGCACATAAATACAGTATTGATCGGACACCGACTATAAGACACCAGCCAAAAATCGTGGGATGGGCAGAAAGCTATTGATACCTTATCAGTGGATAACGATATGTCATGAAAGAAGAACTAGCACCAGCACAGTCGGCAGTAGCAACGCTTGGATTGGATAGCTTATTGTTGAAGCTCTTGAGTAGTGAAGAAATCCGGCCAGAAATGAAGATTCACAGCGTTCTGAAAGCAAAGTTCGTCAAAATAATCGTGCCGGATGCGGGTCAGGAAGTCCGGGTTGCGGCGACGGCATTAGCACCCACCAGGGCTTATGTGATGTGATGTCAGACATCTACAGTAAGTCTCGTCAAATAGCTAGCGAATGTCGCTTGCAAAGCCTTCCATATCGCCTAACTCGGACCTCCGGAAACGCACTAATAATCGCTGAGCCTGAGGTTGCGCCGTGCATTTGAGCTCCCTCTAGAATTGCGCAGAAAATGGGAGGTTTGGCGGACTTCTACAATGTGACATTTCGCTTATCACCGAAACATAACCCAAATTAGCACCTAAAAACCTCATGGCACAAGCACAAGAACAAAACCGCCCACAGTGTTACCGGGCATACCACGAGGAAGAGAAAATTTGGCTGCCACAGAGCAAGACCACCCTCCCCCTCCCCTTCCGCTCCAATCAAGTCCAACTCTCCTTAATTTACTTCCAGGTTGGTGGGGAAGCAAAATCATAGATCGACATACACTCCATATTTAGGAACTGGGGAGGGCGTGGCTGCGTGCTTCTTGTGGACATGGTGTGAGACCTATTCTTGGTTATTGCATTTGAAACAAGTGCTCTGCTGCGTCGTATTGATTTTATATTGCACAAGTCACCAATTACCCGGACAAAGGAAGTGGCAAGACGGGGCAAAGCGCCTCGCCGTTTTTGCGAAAAAAGTGCGCAACACGCCCTTCTTCGTTCTCTGGTACGACAGCGCAACGCTAAAGAGTGCCCTGTTTTGCTCCAAACGGTTCTTGATAACTTTGATGAATGTTATCCCTTCTATACAGGGAATGTACAGTTGATATCGCTGCGATCAGTCGGAGTGATGTCAGGATAGGAGGGGCAAATTGTGTCCGTCTTGTTTTGCCCTAATCGGCTAGCGAGTGGTTCTGGAAGAAAAGGCAGCGGCCTCATTTACTATATCTGGAACCGCATTGGACTGACTGCGACGATTATCTAATGGAGGGAAACTTCCCTCCTCCAGACTACTGTAGGAATCGGACTGCTCCTGGATCTCCATCCCTCGGCTGGTCTGGATCTACTCAAATGTCACCTCGTGTAAATTCTTGGCGGCGCAGTTGGCGCCGACGGCGGGGGAGACGGGTATTTTTGCACTTTCACTGCCTCATTATTTCCGGTTTGCAAGTCTCACTCTGCTGAAACCTGTAAACACTTGTGAGCTGGAGCAAGCTCGTCAAGCCACCATGGTAAAACCTATTCAACTCAGGAAAGCTCTTAGATTGCGGTCGACATATCGATTGAAAGGGTAGGAGCTATGTGTCATCAATAGGCGTTCTGATCTTATATTCCCAGATGCCGAGTGGTCGATGGGCGGACACGAGAGAGACGCGAGATGCGCTCGCCACGGACGGCCGACTCAACTTCTGCCTTACAGCTACTTAACTGTTCTAGACAGTTAGCCATTGTTGCTAGTAAAGGATTAGTATATCGAACTGTTGTGCACGCTTCACTCACTGGTAGCAGCGAGTGGAGCTGCCCCTGTGCAGCTTTCTTCCTTCTTCCCTCTTGCTTCGGTTTCCATTTGTATAGACTATTTCGTTGCTACTCCCCTCTATTCTACCCTCTTCTTCGCCCTACCTGGGCAGATCAAACAGTTCAGTCCGACCGCGGTTTTTTCGCAACCGTTGCAGCCTATGCATGGCCTGGCCAGCCACTGCCTAGTGCGAGGATGTTGCCGCCGCCGTAGCCGCTCGCCGTCCATCGGATGATTCATTCGCATTCTTGCGTGGTCGTTCAAGCCACATCCCGACGCTAGCGAGATTTTCTTTTCCGTTTTCTTCTTCCTACTTCTTCGACTCATTCGTGCACGTTAAATTTTTATCGGGACACATTGGTTGGCATAAGGGTGCTTTTAAAGAAAACCTTATCCCGCGGGTAAAGTCTAGAGCAGTGAAGCACCTCGTGTTTCTGCGGTTTTCGAGCAAACGACGTCGTCAAAAAGTAAGATGTTCGCTGTAAAGTAAAGTGAATGTTGGATTCGCCCTAGTATAAAATGAG